CAGTTCTCTTTGCGGATGATACGAATATTCTTTGCAATAAAGAAACCGTAAATAGTACAATATCAGATCTTGCAAATTGGTTCCATAATAACTAACTAATCAATAGTAAGTAAAAAAATAAAACGGTTTCAATGCGGTTTTCCATTTCAAATAAACAGTCCTGTACTCCATTGAAAATGAACGGTATGCTATTGACTGATGTTAAGATAACAAAATGTTTACGTCTTTCAATTCAAACAAACCTTAAATGGAACGTCCATTTAAATGAATTGATCACTAAATTAAGTTATTTATGCTACGCTTTCAGAATTCATTCAAATTCAGTCAGCCTTCATACTGTTTGTAGTGTTTATTTGACGAATGTTCATTCCCGCCTGAGATATGGAACAATATTCTGGGGAAATATGTCTTATTGACTTTTAGATTACAAAAAACATTTGTACGAATAACAAGCAAATCTCACCCACGCGATTCTTGTAAGTCTCTCTTTATTAAACTAGACATTTTACCATTACCTTATCTCTTGATATACGAATAAATGGTTTTTGTCAAAAATGGCTTACTTAAGGGCGGGAATGTATTTTCAGCAAACGTCAACACTCGATGTGGCAGTCATATTCATCAGGTGACAGTATCAACAGCTCACTACAAAAAATGCACTTACAATACATGTACATCATTTTACAATGCAATTAATGCATTTTACAATGTTATCATTTTACCTTGCCCGATGACATTAAACGATTAAATGCGATACAAAAGTTGAAGTCACGAATAAAATGTTTTTTACCGCACAAGTATTTCTATACTATTAGAGACTATACTGAGCATTAAAAAGGAAAGTAATATTAATTTTAACAATGACATTTAATGTATTATATACCATTTGGAGTGTATAATTGTAACAAGTTTTGTACTTCAGCTTCAGGGTCAATGACCCCCATCTCGATCAGGCTTACGTCTAGTTTCCCTGATCTTCGAGCAAATTCTGAGATGGCCCTCTTGTTTTGCTTCTGGACAGAAATATAACTTAAAATTAACTTCTCCCCGTAGTACGTCGCACACAGTTTTTAACTGTATTTGACGTAAATAAATAACAAATTAAAGTACTAATGCTATCTGATCAGAGCGTCACAAGATAAAAAGAAAAGAAAATTAATACTTCTGTATATTTTATGCTTTTCGTGGTTCATAAAGTTCGACGAAATTCTGTCTTACATTAAATGGTCAGGCATTTGTACAAGACTTTTATGTAAATATCCTGTTAATAACGTATTATTAGTATCATTGCAGAAAAACACTCACAGGTTATTGCTACAAATGTGAATTCAAATATTTGCAGGTGGTGAAATGATGTTGCCTCCTGGAAAATACACTTACCCGTTTTCTTATACTCTTCCTCATAACATTCCTTCATCCTTCGAAGGACTTCATGGGCATGTGCGATATACTGTGAAAGTAAAAGTTGTTCGGCCATGGAGGTTCGATTATGAGAGTAAAGTTGCATTCACTGTTTTAACCCCTTTAGATTTGAACTTGGAGCCAGGCATGCAGGTTGGTGTTTTTTATCAGCTATTTGCATTTAAGTAATGATTTGCGTAGTGTGTACAATTAACAAACTATGTAAACGACATGCTGTATTTAACTTTTGCAGGAACCAGTGCAGAATACTCAAGAAAAGTACTTATGTTGTTGTTGTTGTCGCTCTGGGCCTGTTACACTAGTGGCTAATGTACTCAGAGGTTTCGTTCCTGGACAAAAAATAGAAGCTGTAGTGGAGTGTGACAATGTAACCACTGAAGAAGTGTCTGTAAATTGTTATCTGGAGAAGGTATATAATAATTATTATCTAATTTTCTACAATTGCTTGTAGAAATTTCTAATATTTATTAAAGCTCTTTTACTTTCTCGCCCTTACTTTGTTGGAAGAGAAATCATTAAAATCGTTCACCGGAAAATGGCGAATTATGGAGAGAAAACTCGTATTGTCGAGCCCTGGTAACGAATCTGGTAATACATCTTGTTCCTACATAATAAACCATACTTCTTCTAATAGGCTGTGTAGGCGGAATCCATGTTCCATAGATTCTTGATCTCGAAAAATCGATTGACGGCCAAATGTGTGCGTCCGTCTGTTTGTGTTCAACGCTAGCTCCTAATTAATAACACACACCCTGAACTTCGGATGCTACTTAACATTAAATGCGAGACAAAGTGTTAAAGAATTCGTAAAGAGGCGAACTATTCCATGGACTATATCGAAAAAGAATGGACAAAGTACAAATCAATGCAGATAAATTGTTTATGTTGCTAGGGGGGGGGGAAGAAGACAGAATCGGAAGCAGACTTAATAACTACACAAGATGAGTTGATAACTCATTATAAGAAAGCTGTTCCCAAAATTTCCCATGTTGATGAATGCCACATTCTCCCTCGAAGTTTCAAAAACATGTACAAAGTGGTACGGACATTCACCAAAACCGGTGACTTGTATTGGATTGTGTTCAATATTGTGCGTCCAATAAATTAAAACTGTTCGCACGATTGCAACAAACGAACCGGATATTGTTATCCGGGATTTGGACAAAAAATCGTGTGCACTTGAAGATGTTACTTTTCCGCGACAAATTATTGAATTTACCGGTCCATTTCATTTTCAAAATACGTACAACTGTGGTCGCTTGTGCCTGAACCATTTTCGCAAAAAATAGAAAGGGTTCAGAGCAAACAAGGAAAACGTCCAGATTTGCATGATTCTCGTGGGGTCCTCGCCTGTAACCACAGTCCCAAACAAGTCTATTTACGAGCACTTGTGCTACCGATGTGTCGCCAGCCCACTTTACCTCATGCAAGTTGAGATAGCCGCCTCCTCTTCGAAGTAATGTTTAAGAAACCTCCAAAAATTAAAATATGTTTTAAATTCATAGAACCTTTACGACAGGCAAATCAAGGAACATCAATTCAGTGAAATTATAGGGTTTAGCAGCTTGCGTTGTTCACGGAATGGTGTTTTACCGTTAAACAAATTGTCTGTATCGAGGAACCACAAAAGGAGGATTCTCTCTACACAATATATTAGAGCAAGTAATTAACTGCATATAGGAACAAAAATTATCCACTTTTTTCGGTATCGGAGGACCTACAATACAGTTTTTTCTTAAAAAATCGCCAATTTTCACTGCAGCATTTCATAACTTTCTTTGTACTACGTATGTAATTTAATGATTAAAAGCCAAAATTATCCATTTTTACTTTCTTGCTACTTCCGTTCCAAGCCGTTCAACCTAGTTTCTCTAAAATGGATATTCCCCAATCAATCTGGCTCATGTCGCGGCCCCTTGCATTTGAATCCGATATTTTCATTTTGGGAGTACTTTACATAAAGCTCTTAGACATTTTTAAAAATTATAAAAAAGGCAAGCACCAAATTTTTTGGTTAACTTTTGTTGTCGGATTGCATAAAGGATTCTTAAGATGTGTGTAGTGCTGGTGTCGTGTTCGTTAAAATCCTAGATTTTTCGAAAATTGTAAAAGTCCACTATTGTTTGCGTCTTCCTACGACTATAGTATTGGAGATAGAGAAATTTCCCCCTTGCGTATGTTATTTAATGACAGATTCTAAAATAATTTCATGTACAATTTGAGTTGTTTTCGCGTAATTTTGGGTGAAATATTGGCAATTTTTATATTTTTAAACATTTTTTCTGGAACACTGCAATTTTTGAAAAAAATATCTTCGTATGTATGTGAAAGAACGGTAAAAATATGATGCTGGTCCCATTTTCAGCGGACCCTATATTCTCGAAAATTGCACAAGTTAATGTTTCAAAACTACAATATTGAAGAGGGAAATTTTTTACTTCAACAAACTCTGTTCTAAAAAAACAGCTCTCTAAAAATGCGCATTTTATTAAAAATACAATTCGTTTTGCGTAATTTGTGCTTGACATTTTTGCAATTTCTGAAGAGAAAATTTCTCAAAATCGCAACAAATCGTTCTTCAAATTTTCCCCACAGATAGAACATAAAACGCTGAAAAGATTGGCGCAGGTCTCATTTTCGTTGAACTCTCCGTGTTTTCAAAAGTTGTAAAAAGTTTCATTTGAAAACTACAAAACGTATGATAATTTTGCCGTAAACAAAATATACTCTAAAATATCAGCGCATTAAAAAAGGTCATGTACAATATTTTAAAAAAAGTTTGTGTGTAATTTCTGCTTGATATTAATGAAGTGTGTACAGGTGTCCCACCAACTATAACCGGCGAGACAAACTCTCGAACCGGAATGGATCAAAAGAATACGAAAACTGATTAATTTAAATTTAACTATAATGTTCTATTGAAAATTCCAAATTCCATTCGATTTTTACTCTATTCTACAATATGTATTCTCAGTGTATTGATGTATTTTCTTTCGGACAATCCGCAAACCTTTATTGAAATTTGTCCGATTAGGTTTTCTCTCTTAAAAAAACTATTTAAGAAAATATGAAAGAAAAATTGAAAAAAATCAGTATCATAATTTTGTATTACTATTATTAATATTACGATCGTACGCGGCGTTGCCATACAGTGCAACGATCGATAATGTGTTTTACTGTTACAAAAATCGTCATTTTTCGCTGGCGCATTAATAACTTTTTTATATTATATAGTAGTATGGCAGAAAGTAAACTAGTGGTGCTACAACAAGTATTTCTCGCGTTCTTTATAAGTCTTACGTAATATTATATTACTTGAACCCGCAAATGTGTTACCAACCCGCAAAATATTTGACTACTCTGGGATTCGAAATCATGTACTTACGTTAAGTTTTTCTAATTGCTACAAACGCTCCTTGTTCTTTATCTCGATCACCTGACCCTTATATTAGTGGCTTTTTTCTCTTTCAGGTGGTGATATTTAAATCTTCCTGTGGATCTACAAACCGTTGTCAGAATACGGTTGCCATGGAAAGATTAGGTGTAGTAAAAGCAAATGCCTCTAATGCTTGGACAACAAAGTTAACAGTTCCTGTTTTACCTCCATCATACTTGAAGTATTGTAATTATATAGACATCACTTACTTGTTGTGGGTAAGTAGTACAAACATTTAATTTATTTTGTGTTGACTTTTACTGTTATGTACTCGCTGATGCTATACTATTTCAGTGACGATTTAATGACACTTGCAAGAGCTAGCCATATTTTCATAATTGAATCTCTAGAAATATCTGAATTTTGGAAGGAAAGTTAAGAAATGTAATAATTTATAGCCAGGTGCGAATTGACGGTAGGAATATGAAGGATCGTTCCGGTACAGAGTTGGATGTCCCCCGCTAGAAAAATTCTAATTTATCCTTACTAGGGACACAATTTATACTACTTGCCTCATTTGTTCTTGTCCTTTATTAAATTGTTGAAATTAATAAACGCAAATCAACAAAATTAATAATTGTAAGAATGTACTGAAACTACTTGTAAGAAGAGACTGAAATACAACTTTAAGGATGGCTTACTGTGACGATTCATTAATGGAACAAAAAAATATTGTGAAAATAAAGCTTAGTGAAAAATAAGCGCGACATCAACAATGGGGAATCCGAAGTAATCGATTTCGTAAATAATGAGAATGTAATCAATAAACTAGGAAAATAGTGGAATTCGTTGTGATTATTGAACTTGAAATGGACACGTGAGGAATTTCCGTGGGAATTATTTAATTATATAAAAGAGTGAAAGACTCGCTTAGTCAAGGAATGAACATAAGGTGCTTAGTTATGAATAGCCAATCAGAAAGGAGAAGGCGTGAGAGCGAGGAGACAAGCAGCTCAGGCGAAAGAAGGAGGAAGGGAAAGGGAGCAGTACCACGCAGCTTAGAGGTAAGCAAAGGAACAGCGCGTTTTATGAAGGCAAAAGGTACTCCGAAACGGTGACGATCGGATGGTAGAAGATACTAAGCCGTCTTCATGAAAAAGTGTTTTAAGTCGGTTAAGTGAAAATCTTGTGTGGACAGGAGAAGATTACAAACATGATTACTAATAGTGTAATTGGAATATGATGAAACGTAATTTGGAATTTATTTGAAATCCGCCGGTCAAGGCGGCAGAGGAGTCACGGACCAGGAAACTGACAAAAACGGGCATGCAAAATATACGGATTATGAGAAGATCAAGTTTTGTTAGAAAATAGTTATTTCAATAATACGATAGGGGTAAGTGGCCAAGCAAAAATAATAGTGTGAATAGGAATATCGAATGTGTACTCGTTTTCAAGGGTTATTATGGTTTGTTGTTTTGTTTTGATTGTTATAGATATGGGTAGTGAATGTTTTGTTTAAGCTGAAGAGAAGCAAATTATAATGTTTTTGTTTATTAAAAAATGGGTATTATTATTTAGTACTGGTAAGGAGAATTCCCGAGTCCAAATGTTTAGTTAGCTTAAAGATTTATGACGTTAATTTCGTCGCCGCAACTCCGTAAGGACGGTCCTATCGGTCCTTTAAATAAATTTTTCTTACGACAGATATCCTCGGCAAACAGATGGTGTATTATTAATTGCAATAAATAAATAGATTGTATAAATAAATGAATAAAAATTAGATGTCAATAGTTACATACTCAATTAGTACAAGAAAGATCCGCTATATTAGTATGCCGACGTGAGGCTAAGTAATAAGATAGAATTATTGTTCATGTTATAGCGTGTTTGATCGAAGTAATAAACCAATACCATACCGTTAGTCGTATGCTCTCTGCCGTTAGTCGTAGAAAGGGGGGTAAATCCGCCTGAATACTTAGTCCGAGTTTCACTGTTAATTCTGATATTTCAAACATTTATTTTTGTTCGGCGTTTTCCTACAACTACGAAGTAGTAGTAGTCTGTATAATATTGAAGCTGAAGTGTTTTTTTTTCTCTTTCAAATATAATATCTTCTCCACAATTAGTACTTTCATTTATCACCTGCTTCTAATTCCACTTTTTTATAAAATCTGGTTGTTGTGTTGAGTGTTGGCAACGGCGAAAACCAGGAGCAGTCTCTTGTCGCAAATTAGTGCGGCACAAATAAAATACAGAAATGACTAGTTTCTACTCAATAATTGAAACATACATGATTTAAACACAACGAATAAAAATGACATTGTCACATTCTTCTTCACATTGGTTTTTCGTAGTTTCAAGTCAATATTTGACGACAGCCACTGCGACCGCTTCTGCAAACATTACTATTTCCACCAATATGACCGTTACTACGACGCTATTACTACTGTCACTACACCACTGCGATCACCACAACTACGGCATACACTATGATAATTATCATGACCCTGTCTATCACCGTTAATACGACCACTACCACGACGCCCTTTACAATCGCCACAATGACCTCACAAGACCGCCTCTACATTACGACTTCGATCAAGCATTGCGAAAGCCAGTACGACCGCCTCTGCAAACGCCACTTCGACTGGCACTACGTCCACCACTACGACTACCAACGCGACCGACATTACGATCTAGCCCGTCACTACGACCACCACTAATACTACAATCACTACGATTATGAATATGACCACCACGAGTACCTCCGGCCGCTCTCATCGGTGGTTTATCTGATCAACACCAGGCGAATTCCGGACTCTAAGAAACGGTCCATGGACCGCACGCGACCTTTCCTTCCCTTTCTTTGTCCTATCTTACACACACATTAACTTACTTACTTACACACACACTAACATGCATTTTACAACCACACATACCGGATGACCGTTCGGAAGCTTAGCGTTTGTCCCGGCTGGTGCGGTGCCCCGCTGGTAGGAGATTCCTGATTGGGAAAAAACTCGATAGCCAACAGTAGGTCGGATCCGGATCTCGCCATCCGGCGGGGAAAGACACTACAACCAATTTTGCGGCGAATCGCCATGCGGACTGGAAATAGGTTTTACTGACCCTTCTGCGACGACGGACAAAGGGACCGCTGCAGGGAAAACGTCGCGACGAGTGTCCCAGAGGGAAGACATTCATTTAAACCAATGCTTCGCTAGCAATGGTGAGTTCGCACTCCCGCGCTACTGGTAGCGAGGGTCCACCGCCGAACCTCACAGCAGCACGAACCCGCCGCACGTGGGAAGACCTTTTAAATCAATGCTTTGCTACGAGCCGCGACGTTCGGAGGCGCGCTGCTCCGGCGACGTGTGAAGGCGCCCTTAGCCGTGCGCGGGGCGGTCGATTCTGCGGAGGTTGCCTTCGGCGAGGGCGTCTGGCTCGCACGTGTGACCCTTGCGGTTTTTGTTCGGGGCCGCAGCGAAGCCCCTCGCATATTTTGCAGTCATGAACCGCCTCCCTGGCCCCCGAGTGCACTTTTTGTGGGCTTCTTGTGCCGTGCGGTTCCCAGTGGTCTTCGCACGTGGCGAAACGCGTGGGTAGTTACAGAACAATACATTTTGCAAATATTAATGCGTATATCTATACATACATATGTGTGTGTGTATTTTTATATTGTATATATATATATATATTAATTGATATGTAGTTATGAATATAATACACGCATATATATATATATATATATATATATATATATATATATATATATATATATTTATATATATATTTGCTGAATTTGTAAAATTTTAGGTCCCGGAACGCTCACCAAATTAATTATTAATTTAATAGAATTCCTTACATATTTATTAGAAAATTTAATAACTATTTGCGAGGTACCGGATCGCCAAACACCTAAGCTGCCCACGTAGCCACATCTCCGCCCAGACACGTTCTAGCACCGCATGCACATCGCTGTGGTCAGTAGGAAAGAGCGCGGCCTAGAATATTCTGCCCGCAGCTCAGCCGCTGGACTTACCATTTATGGCGAGGGGTCAGTCGGTAGGGGTTGTGACGCGGTGTTATCCCTCCAGAAGAGGCCGCACAGCTGACACCTCTTTCTTGAGAAAGTCGTCGACCAGGTCGGTTGTGCGGTTCCCGGTACGTGGTGTAGGAGTGATACACGCCATCTTTGCAGGTATGTGAGAGAAAGTAAGTGATCGTGAAGAGAGCAGTTAGAAAAGGGAGAGAATTTTATATATTAGAATTGAATGAGAGAGTGATTCAAAAACTTTGGAGAGCTCATAAATAAACGAGTACGAGGCGAAAGAGTGGCCGCGAAGTGATTTCTTAAGTTGCTATGAGACTATAGGAGAACTAATAAAATTAGCTACACGAGTTAGAGTGTATCGTGGAGAACGCCAGGGACAAAATACACCGTATATCATACACGCATAAGAACTGTGTAATACGCGTAGGTGTGCTGCACGAGAAGAAGAGGCGGAAGAAAGAAGAGGCTAGTATTCTGGTACCGGGCGTGTCAAGACACAATTCGGGATCAGATTCGGCCGAGATCTGGTGGAGGGCGGAATAATACGGCGCTTCGAGTGGCACGGCAGAAGACCGGTGTGCAGAGGAGCAAGGCGTCAGCACGACCAAAAGTAGGCCAAGGTCGTGAGCCCATGGTGCGGACGTCCCGAGCGGAAGTAGGCGAAGCCACCCGACGTGCGAGCGAGGAGTAAGGTAAAGAAAACATCTTAACGGGACTTAGGAGGCAGGTGACGCTACGAGCACCTCTCTGACGAGCACGTGACCGCCGATTCTCAACAGATAGGGACACAGGCCCGGCATTTGCCAATGTTTCAGTAGACCAAGGTTGAGGGAAAAACGAACATGCACTGACACTTGTGATAAATAACAGAAAACGTGAACTGTGCTAAAAACGAAAATTGAGAATAGTTTTCGCTGAAAGGACGTGGAGCGTTAGCCATCAATACTAAAATAACTTTTGAAGCCCAACACGTAGAAACGCGATTCTGCGTTCTGCCGCCTGCTCTCTCTAGCCGACGCGAACGTAGTTCGTGTCCGAGTTTTCGAATCATCGAAATTTCTAATCATTTCGAAAGTTCCCCGGCACCAAGTGCCCGAATCCAAGTTTTCTGTGCGGGGCCGAAGGTCTAGAGTTCTCATCCTCAAGTGACCTTTTACCCTCCCTTGTTCATGAACCCAAAGTCGTGATTGACCAGCTGCGTCTAATTTAATTTTGGTCCAATAGTATCGTCGTATTCTGAGACACTTTGTCTCACTCACACTCCTTTTTTTGTTTCGTGTACTTATCGTGAACTGGGCAATTGCAGCGCAGCTGGCGGCTGTGGTGTTTGGGTTGCACATTAATTTAATGGCTTTTAAATTAGGAGGCGGATAATTCAACAATCCGGGTCTTGGCTGTTCTCAGGATAGAGGGGGGTGCGTGCGGAAAGGTCGGTCGTGCTCCAGCGCGCATAAGTGCGTCGTTTGAAGAGATTTGTTGTCAGCCCGGCTCGCGCATAGCTGTCTGGGGTGGGATGTGTCTGGCATGCTTCAGAAAGAAAGAAGTCTCTTTTGGCCTGGGGCTTGCCGCAGGGGGAGGGCAAAGTGAGCAAGGACAAACCAGTGGTGCTGCAGAATGGCGCAGACTTTCCCGTATTAGTTTTCTATTTCGTTTGGCCTGGGCTAGCTATTCGGTCATGCCACATTCTCTTGCCAGCTGCCATATATCGCCCCGTCCAAAGGGTATTATTTTTAATAACAAAATCGATTTCTAATAGTAAAACGAAAATATTATTTTAAGAATATTAAATAACAGTAAAAACTTGTTCTAAATGCCAATTTTCTTTGAAAAATTTGCTGCCGTTTATAAGAAAACAGCGTTTAAGTGTTACTGTAAATTTGAAATTTGAACCTGTTTACACAGAAACTATTGAATTTTCGAAAAATGTCATTTGTAATCATTTCAAGCACTTCAGTGACAAATGAAGTAGTGGAAATGTTCATATTAAAAGCTTCAGAGATATTTAAAAAAATTACATTTGTGTAATTTATTAAAAAACAAAAGAATATAACAATATGACGTTTATGTCATCTTATAGGGTGCATATATAACTATCCCTAACAGAAATTTAAAGAAAAAATTGGAGCCGTTTTTATAATATTTTTCAATTTTTTTAAATTTGCCAAAATTGCATGCAGTATTGGTCAAAAACTACTAAAATTTTCAAAAATATGTTCACGACATTTTTGAAAGAACTAAATATGGAACAAAATATGTACGAAGGAAAAATCTCTATCTTCAATTTTGTAGTTACAGGATAAATCGGAAAAAATGTCTTGTGGGGGGAAAAAGCTTTTGCAATTATTGAAATTGTAGAGTTAACTTGAAAATCGGAGCTATGCTACCTTCATATGTGTATTTTACTCTATTCTTACAAGAAATTCAAAGAAAAAAATTGGACCAGTTTTTGAGAATATTTTGAAAATGTCCGAGGGCCTTCATGTAAAGTACCCCCAAATTTTAAAGAAAGTTTTTCAAATTGCGGCGCCTGGAGTGAAGCCACATTGACCACATAAACCAGGGAATATCCATTTTCGAAAAAATCGCATGTATGCTTTAGACGCTAGTGGCGTTCACAGACTGACAGACATTTTGAAAAGAACCACTTTTTCGGTATGAGGGGACCCCAAGACTTATATTTCCGTTGAAATTCCGCAGAATTACATAACTTTCCCTATACTACGTATATACGTATTTATACTTTATATTTATATTAAAGTCGCAATAAATTCTTAAATTCCGTAGCCTGCTGGGCCGATGGAATTACGTAATACGGTAATATTTCATTTATACTAAGGATGGTGGAGGCTATGTGCCACTATACACACACATACATGAAGGAAACGTACTGGAAAATATTATTTTGTTTTTTAATTTTCAGGTTAAAGGTGTAATTACTGGATTTCACAATTCTGTCAATTTGCGTACCGAAGTGATAATTGGCACAATACCTCTCAGAAATTATTTCCTATCAATATTTTCTTCGGTTCCTGAAGTGCCTTCCGGTTCTGCTTCGCCCCAAGGAGAAGAATCACCACCTTCCTTTGAAAGTGCTGTTGTAGCCCCTTCAGCACCTCCCATGGAACCAGGATCACCATATACGGATTTACGTAAGTGATTTTCAGCAGCATAACTTGTGGTACGATGGCATATTACACATGTAGTTCCCTATCATGGATAAATTCTCTCTGCAAGGCTTCATAGAATGTGAAAACAAATTTTAACAAATGATTTCTTACTCTGATAGAGAAAAATTATGTAATTAATGTTATGTTTTATTAACGGATGTGGTTAATAATTTGGTTCGGTGGCTTCCGTGGTATAACCGTTGTTGTATCGGGCTATTATATCAAAGTTTCCTGGTTCAAACCCTATTAAAACCGTGTATTTTTAAGGGCGAAAAAATCGTTCGGATGGGAAGCAAAGCCGGCTGCCCCAAGAAATAGATTTACTGAATGAAAAAAGTTCAGGCCTAAAAGAAGCCTCTGTGATAAATTTAAATCGCATGTTCCTTGCCCGAGTAATACCTTCTTCCTCCAGGTCTGAGTTTCTCCACGTGAAATAAGGCATCATTGAATATGAATTTAACATGTAATAGAATATAAACATTTCTTTTGATTACATTTGTTTTTATTATACCAAACACTGCTTGCTAATTATGCCCAACGCTGCCCGAAGTCTCGTATGATGTTCTTAAAGGCCTTCCTTTATACTTCTAGTGTACTCTTACGTAGTATAAAGAAAGCGAAGTAAAGCTGCATAAAACGGACCATTTTTCGACAGAATAACTTATGTTGTGGCTCCCTGATACTGCAAAAGAAGATAATTTTTGCTCCTGAGTGTAGAAAATAACTTTTTGGTGCTCATTGTAGAATCACGACCATTGATGAATAATAAAATAAAATTGGTTCACAGGATTGGGCATTGTGGTTAGAAAAACTAACAGAAACATGTTTCTCCAACCACAATGACCAATCCTCGCAACAAATTTTATTTTATTTTTCAGATGCTCGTAACTTTGTGCAGTCTGAATCCACGTTTTATGGGTCCTGCATGACGAAACTAGTAGTGCTACAACAGCGCATACTTTCTCGCATATTTTTTGTTATTATTATACATTTTGTTATTTTCGAACGGTCAGAACGTTCGACAAAAAATAGACCTTTGCCATTGTTTTAGGTGCTTCGTGTTCAATCCGTGGAATAAATTTGGAGTGTTTTTTTTTATAAAATATATATTTTTACATTCAACCACAAATTACGAAAAAAATACTTTTTCAGAAAATTGTACGTACCTTTTTTAAAGAACTGATTTTTAGCAAAGATTTTAAGGCAAAAATCTCCATGTATATTTTGTAATTTTCGAAAATACAGAGAATTCGCCAGAAATGAGAATACTGAAAAAAAATTTTCCTTCATATATTCAAGGAGAAAATTGAAAAAAATAGTTTAGAGACAGTTTGAGTAAAAAAAAGTGTCAAAAAAATAAAAATTGCTTATTTTACGCGAAATTACCGAAAACGTCTGAAATTTTCAACTTTATTTCACGTTATTTATTATATTAATATTATTTATTTACGACCGTGTTTCAAGACCTTAAGTCTTTAAAGAAAAGATTTGAATTAAATGCCCAGCGTGTCCATATGGACACTCATTGTCAATAACATTTCATCATTTTGTACTGAGTTAATATTTATTATGATGAAGTTTGTAATCGCTTCACTTGCAAAAGAAAGTTCACACTGAATTCTTATTGTTGTTAGAACGGTATATCGTAAGACAGTTTGTTGTAATCACTTCCAGAAATACACACAATATTTTGTGCTCCAAATTCATGGACGTCGATATTCAGTAATTGGGTTTTATAATATTGTTTCTATTTTAATTGAAGTTTTATTGCATGACATACATTCAGAAACTTTATTGTATCAGTAAACGTTTTTAAAAATAATTTTGGAGATATTGTTTTTTCTGTATAATAAAACATATTTGAGTGTGTCCCTTGGGACGCGCTGGGCGGATACGAGGACAAATCTGGTTGTTGTGGTCAAAATACCCTTTTAAATCTATTTTTGTCTTTATTTTTGGTCAGAGTCCTGTACATATATTAAATTCGAATATACTGGATATATACTTTTGAAGGGGGAAGTAATGTACTTGTGGGACATGGGACATTTTGTGCATTCCATCGTAAAGATAACTGAATTATTGTTGCAAAATGGGTTGACAACTTCGTTTTTGCTGTAGGATCAATATGCGCTGGTGTTGAGCCTGTTTTCCCTGTAAAAATGTATCCAACAAAGGAAAAAAGCTATCCAAATTCAACGACCTCACACAGTAGCTTAGTAGAGATACGCGGAGGATGTAGACCGGATGGATGAGAACGTTGCCTTGTACAGAATATACGTTTGAAACAGAAATTGTACTGCGCTCTATTGTCATGGCTAATCGACATACCAATACACAATACTGAGCATCTGAAAAGGTATTGTAAAAAGGTCCCGGCGTGACATAAGGTCAAAAATTGTTCAGATGAATAGGTGCGGGAACACCATCAACCAACCTTCTCATTACTTATAAAGCAAGTGTTCCAGAGGGCATTAGATTGGATGGTTATAGGTATTGTATTCAAAACAAATTGAAAGGAAAAGGGGATGCGGGAGAAATGATTCAAGCAAATCATCTGCATGCGCAAAATATATTGTATGGTTATGTTTAGAATATTTTCAAGTTACAACAATCCCAAATAATAGCAATACGTTTCAAGTTTTCAAATAAATATTTTATTTTGTTTCCTCTTTTACTTTAAATATGTGTTGTATCAATGTATTTTTATAAAATTTATTGTTCTTTTTATTACATAGAAAGATTTTTGATAGTGTAGCAGATTTTGTATAAATTATTATTACGTGTTCATAAGGACACGGTTTATTCGAAGAAGAAAAAATACAAATATTTTCATCAAAATATATTTTTACTTCATTTCTGGATGTTCCTTAAAGAAAGGCAACACATAAAATGTAATTTTTCGAAAAACGATTTTTAAGAAAGCAATCGAGCAGTTAATGATTAAGAAAAAAATATGTCTTCAATATTTTAGTTGTCGCAAGACTCCGAAAAAATTGAACTTTTTCAATGTTGGAAAAATCAGGGATTTTAACGACAATGAGTCCTGCGCCATTTTGTAAGCGTCTTTTAAACTATCCGAGGACAAAGATTAATCAAATGATTTGAAGGCATTTTTGAAAAAAAAAATTGAAAATGATGTGGGGGCATTATATAAACTCCCCACTCCCCAATGAAAATATTCATGTGAAACTCGGCGCTCGCCGAGTTTAAAGAAATCATCTGAGAATATCAATTTCGGAGTAAATTGACATTGGTGCTTTTTTGTCGACTTTGGTGCTAGCGTTGATCACTGTCGGACGAACAACAGACAGGTTTTGCCATCAATTGGTTTTTCGGTATCAAGGTCCCACAAAACTTGATTTCTGACTACACAACGTGTTAGAGAAAGTAGTTTACTATGTGAACAAGATTTATCTACCTTTTTGATACCAGGGCCCGGGTTTAATAAAAGGGTTTGGGTCGAAAATTCACCGTTTCCGGCGGCCTATTACAATACTTTCGCTTACAAAGTAAGCGTGAGAAAGTAAAAAGTTGTTTCCGCCGCAAGGTCTGTAATCGTCACCGGTGCCCAACTGGCCTGAGATGAATACGAGCGGTCGCTACCATTTTTTTATTTCTTTGCTGCTTTTTTATGTTCCATCAGTATTTGCCAAAATTCCTCTCCACTTCTGGCAGCCTGAAATACTGTTTCAATTCATAAAGAACTTTTTTTTCGAGTATCGATGCCACGGACATTAAATCAGTATAAATTTTCTTCTAGGGGAATAAATCTATTAAAGCAACACAAAATCAAAACAAGTTCTTAATATATTGACATAAAAACATCGACTCTTTGAAATGACAAGTTTCCAACTAGCATTTCAGACGTTGGAAATAAATTGATTTCAGAGTTATATTAACTTATTATTCAGTCATACCTACACCTACGGTTATGACTTACTGTAGCTATTTATTCACAGATTGCAACAGGATGTTCTACTTGTTGCAGACGTCACAATCTTGTAACCCCATATGTTTTTCAGTAGAGACATTGTCATTCCAAAGGGTCGAAATGTAATAAAATTCAAATACATATGTGTTACTAAGATGCATTTTCCTATTCCAGCACCTCCAACTTATGAAGAGTGCTTGCTGATTAAGGGAAATATTCGTGATAAGGAAGACAATGAGTACACTTACGGTGCTATGGATTTTGCGCCTCGCTACCCGATGTATAATTTTCGATGAATATATTTTTTAAACTTTTTTCCCTTTTTTATTTATCTATTTGTTGCTTTAAGCTCTCTTTTTGATATCAAGAAAATGTTAGCATTGCTTCTACTGGATTTTTCGATAGTTGTGGTATGGGTGGTAGTGGTGATATCGCTACTTGAATATGAAGATGTTGTCTACGGTTCATGTGTGTCACTACGATTATCTGGTAGAATCCAGACGACTCAAAATTCATGTCAACGTTTTTGTTTTGATCTGCGAAAATATACAATCACCTGACAAGTGCATGGGATTAGTCCAAGTGGTTGGCTTTGAAACAACGCTGGATCTGCCATCTTTGAGTATTGGTCCATTCGATCATGATATATGGGGAACCTTCCTGTCATGAGAAACTGTGTCATCGCGAACAACAACACGTGAGGCTTTCCTTGATTATGCGAAACTCCTCATTGTTATCAATACATAGACATCGTGCCCATAAATTTAAATCTGCCATAAGTTATCTTGTCCTACATTTTTATGAGGCCCTTTCTGAAAAGTTACGTAATGCTAACCTCTATCTGTTTTCGTTGAACTTTATCGGAGTATATTCGGCACTGATACTAATTGTTTGAAATTTGATGTATTTTATTTATTTATATATGTTCTATTATATTTTGTTCTGTTTATATTCTATTCTACTACATTATTGCCTTGTTATTTTTGTGCAACTACGCCCAATCTGCTACCATCTGTGATATCAATAGCATACTTTGCCTTGTAAGTACAAGGTAAGTAT